AAAAAAAAAAAAAAGAAACACATTAAAATTTCCCAGGCTGGGGATTTGGCTCAGCAGCAGAATGCTTGCCTAGTGTGTTAGCTGACACACTGTGTCAACTTGGCTGACTCAGCTGGGGCAGATCTCAGCACCGGGGCCTAGCCCGCACTTTGGAGGAGCTCGGATCTTCACTGTGGAGCACTGGTCCTCACAGGCAGTGCAGACAGGAAGAGAGAGGCCTGATGGGCGCCGCAGCTGCTGCTCCTCCTCTGCTCTTCATAAGTTTTCTGCCGGAATATGGACTAAACCCTCCAGAATAAACCTTTCCTTCCTTCATTTTGAGTGTCAGGTATTTGTCCCAGCAACGCGTAAAAAGTAACCACAAAGTAACCACGACAGAATTTGGTATCCAAGGAGTGGGGCGGTTGCTGTGGCTAAACCTGATCATGTGGTTGCTGTGGCTAAACCTGACCATGTGGATTACAAGCTTTTGGGAATGGCTTATGGGAAGATAGGAAAGGTTCAGAGATGTCACCTACACACGAAGTGCTGAACAGCTTCTGCTGTTCTGTTTGGGAGCTTCTGGCCACAGCTCAGACCAGAATGCGGATAAGAAGCCTGACTGTAAAGACCAGGCTGGGGAGGTTTCTGCTGGGAAGGAGGACAGCATTGGTTGCTGGACTGCAAATGATTTATTTGGGTTACAGATTGGCAAAAACTTTGTCCAGAGACTTTGCCTGAGACTGAAATTAAGCACAGTGGACTAGTTAATCTTGAAAAAGAAAGTTTAAAGCAGCCAAATATTGGGGCAGTGGCGTGGTTGTTGTTGAGGGCTTTTGGCCAGATTTGTGTTAAGAATGAAGAGCAAAGAGCCCAAAAGGATGATTTAAAATGTTGCAAGTTTGGCCATAAAGGCTGTGGACTGTGAAGACAGAGCTGAGAGGATCTCCTTGCTGAGAAGGAACAAAAGAATAGAAAAGACGTCCTGAGGACATCACAGAAGGTGGCATGTTCGTGCCCTTTGCAGCCTCAGAATCACAAGGGTGATGACTTTACTTTGAGGAAAAAGCCACAGAGCCCCATGTTCCAGAATGGTGGCAGCGGCCACACCAGGTTCCAGAATGGCGCCAGCACGGAGAAATCATTCCTCCAAATCACGGTCAGAGTGCTCAGCCATCCAGGCACTCGACCTCTACAGGCAAGAGAGGAAATCCTGGTTACTGCTCCAGCTGGCGGCAGCCCTTGGCATCATCCACGTGCCTTTGGTTGTAGGCGCACGCAGAATGCAGGTGTTCTGAGATTCAGAAGGCTTCCGCCCAGATTTGAGAAGAAGGCCTGGGAGGCCAGGCAGTGTGCCCGAGAGGGCAGTGTGTGAAGCTGTGAATGAGAAGCCTACTCAGTGGAAACCTCAGAAGTTTGAAAAAGCCAGGAATGTGGATGGTCTAAGAAAAGCTGCAAAAAGGGAGCAAAGCAGGCCTGAGAGAAAAGCTGTAGGAGCTACCAGCAGAAGTGCCACAGGGGTGGAGCCACATAAGGCTTTTGGAGCTCACAACTCATTACAGGGTGCTTTGGATGGTCCACAGGGAACTACAGGACTTAACATTTGCCACTCTGGACTTTGGACCTGTTTTGGTCCCAACTGTTTGTATCCAGCTGTGTATACTTTTTGGAATGGCAGTGCTTATATTATGCCTTTGAATGTTGTAAGCGTTTAACTTTTCATTTGTAGAGGGGCTCACAGCTAAGAGTTTACCTAAGAGGTTGGAAGCTTGGGACTTTGACTTTTCAGTGTTGCTGAAACTGGTAGGACTTTGGCAACTCTTAACAGATGGACTAAAATGTCTTTTGCATAAAGGGTTCTGAATGAGTCTTTGGAGGGCCAGGGGTAACATGTCATGGTTCTAATGTTATACAATGTTCAAGTTGTAAAATGTTTAAGCATGTCTGTTTACCTGGAAATTGGCTTAAAGAAGTATGTCTAGTTGGCAAGTTGACAAGGGGTGGACTGTGTTAGCTGATACAGTGTGTCAACTTGGCTGAATCAGCTGGGCAGTTCTCAGCATGGGGGCCTAGCCGGGCAGGAGGGCAGGGCCCAGGAACTGAGAAAGGCAGGAAAAGGCCCTGCCTGGTTTCCTGACGCCCTGCCCCACTTCCATGGAGAAGTCCCAGTCTTCGGAGGAGCTTGATCTTGGCAGCCCCACCACCTTGGAGGAGCTTTGGAGCCGCCGGTCTCCACAGTCAGCATAGAAGGGAGAGGCCTGATGGATGTCCCAGCTGCTCCTCCTCTGCTCCTCATTGTTTTCTGCCCCTGTGAACTGCTGTTATTTGCTTTGAAGCCAGAGGACTATGGACTAAGCCCTCCACAAACGATGAGCTAAATAAACCTTTCCTTCCTTCATTTTGAGTGTTGGGTATTTGTCTCAGCAGCAAGTGAAAAGTAACTAAGACACCTAGCAAGCTAGAAGCCCTGGGTTCGGTCCTCAGCATCAAAAACAAAAAATAAACCTCTCCTAAAAAAACAGTTCAACCAAAAAAATTTACAAAACATTAAAATTTCCCACCAAAAATTATTAAATGAAAATAATATTACTATAGCTTGATAAGATTCTACACCATTGAAAATCAGATTAAAAAAAAAAATCACCCAAAAAGAAAGAATTAAGATTGAAATTTCTTTTCTTTCAAAATAAAAAGGTTATTTAAAAAGTCAAATCTCCATAAAATAAATGAAAAGCGCAGACTTCCCAAGGACTCATCAGAAAGGGGCAGGGGCCACAAGCCAGGCAGAACCGCGCCACAGCTGCCCCACGTCCCTCACCTGAGGCCTGCTCAGCTCCAGGGCGACGTTCTGCACTTCCAGGCTCCAGTCTAGCTTGGGCGTCTGGAGCTCGGCTTCCGCGTGAGGATTCATGTAGAGCTTCGCAGAGGCTGACACGGGCTGGAAAACTGACACCACACAGGAAGAGGTCTGGTGTGTTCATGTGCTCGTACGTGTGAATAACACGAATAATTATGGAAACTATTACCCGGAAAGTCAAGTGATTAGAAACATACAAAACAAAATCACTACTAAAAATACGGAAAGTAACTCTTCATCTTTGTACTGCTAATACGCAGACTGGAATCCTGCCCTTCAGGTAGGAAATGTACGAAACGCAATCTAGCTCAGCTCTTGACAGTCTGTATAAATGATAAATAAGAGGAGGTTTCTCTCCCGTTATACAAGGCACTTCATATTAAAAACACTAATAAAAGAAAATAAAATATAATTATTATTTAATCATTGCTACAATTTAGGAACAGAATCATGACTAAATTTAATTCCTAAAAAAATGATCACCAATTTTGTTTTGTAAAATTCGCATAAGAGGTGTGATTTTACAATAAACTAAATAATCTTTAGGCTGAGGAAAAGTGTGTATCAGGAAAGACCACAGGGCAAAGCTGCGACTATGTCAACTACATAAGTCATGATATTTTATCATTTGCTGAGAATTATAAAACAACGTTAACAGCTCTATAACTTCTAAGTGGAAAGGCCTGAGAGCAGAGCTGCAGAGCGCTTGCATCAGCTCTTTCACCAGTAAGCCAGGCGCTCGCCCGCGCAGCCTGCGGATGGGAGCACGCGACAAGCAGCGTGTGGCAGCTCAGCGCAGGAGGAAGGGGCCAAGGGGCCGGGCTAATGCTAGACCGCAAGGGCACAGAGGGGCCAACCCCAAGGGGACACAACAGCCAGAGCGCAGCGACAGGCTCTTTAGAATGAAACTGACGGAGTAGACTGCTTTATTCACGTAGACTGCTTTATTCACGATCTATTATGTGTTTTATTTTAAAGAGAAAAAAAAAATACTGAATTCCAAAACAAGATAGTAGGAAATGAACAATGATTAATCTATTGTATGTCGTTAACTTCAAAGTAGTTGCTCAGATACAGGTATGGTGCAGTACAGAACAACATGAGCACAAACTAACAATCTACTTTTAAAATAAAGGTGAGGCAGCAAAAGCAAGAGAAGCTCTTAAAATGTCTAGAGTGGCTATTTACCTTACAAGAAAAACAGCAGCGCAGGCGAGGAATGTTTAATACCCTAACCTCAGAGATTTGGTTATTTCAGAAAAAGAAAAATAAAACCTAAGTCCCAAAATGAATACAATATCAAGCTACAAAGAAAATACAGAGGCGAAGGAGCAGACCCCTCGTGGCCCTCCTCCCTGCCCCTCCAGCACACACGCCTCAGGGTCTACTCCCACGCAGCACTCTACCAAGGAAACTAAGATACAGAACTCGTGTTTGCTTTTTGTCCAAGTAACTTAGGAAGTACAGTAAAATATTTCATTCCAATTTTCTTCCTCTAACATGAAATAAAATTAGTACTTACTGTATTGATGGTTTGGGGATCTATTTGTACTTGTAAGAATTTCATTTTTCAGTTGATCCTAAAGAAAATATTTAAATTTTATGAGAATAGAAAAAAAAAAATGCAAGGGCTGAGGATATAGTTCAGAGGTACAAATGCCTGCTGGGTATGCATAAGGTCCTGAGTTGGTATTTCCCCACCAAAGAGAGAGAGAGAGAGAGAGAGAGAGAGAGAGAGAGAGAGAGAGAGAGAGAGAAAAGACGAAGACGAAAACAAAGACAAAGATGGAAAGAAAAAGGAAAGGAGAGTAGAGGAAAGGAAAGAAAAGAGAAAAGAAAAGCTGCAAAAACATTTGGCCACATATACAAAACAAAAAAGCTCGGCATGGTGGCGCATGTCCAACCCCAGCACTCAGGAAGCTGAGGCAGGTGGATCATTCAGAGTTTGAGACCAGCCTGGGCTATAAAGTAACTCAAGGCCAGCCTGAGTGAGACCCTGACTCTAAATAAAATTGATTCTTACATCATTATTTTAGTCCTCTCTTTGTAACTTATTAGTTCATAGGAAAAATACACTAATATTATTTATAGCTGCATTTCTTCAGCATACTAAAGGCATAGAAGCTGGTAATTTTTTAAAACATTACGTATCTATGAACATGGCCATGTCACCTTTCTCTCTTGGTTGGGTGGGAGGGCTGGGTCTCACGATGTGGCCTCAGCTGCTCTTGAGCTCACTATGTACCCTCAAGCTGCCCCTGAACTCATAATAATCCTCCTGCCTGAGACTCCAGAATGCTGGGATTACAGGTGTGCACCACCTCACCAACCTTCTGACTTAGTCTAAAAGAAACCTATATACACATACATGTCTACAAATTTCTAGTCAGAGGAAAATTATCTGTTGCTCTGAACACTGGTGTACAAATATTGTTTGACTGCTACTTTCAATGCCTTTGTGCGTATACTCAGAAATAAAAGAGCTGGACCACACACTTGGTCGTGGCTTCATACTGCCACAGAGCCTCGTTTTGAGGCACAACTCAATACACGTTAGCCAGGTGTGGTGGCACACGCCTGCAAGGCCAGCACTTGGGGGCTGAGGCAGGAGGCGCACCCTGAGTCTGGGCCTAGCCTGGGCTACATAGTAAACTCGAGGGTAGAATGGACAACACAGTGAGACTGTCAAAAAAAAAAAAGGAACATATGCAAAGTGAAGAGTCTGGTGCACTACGACGTTGAGTCCACTCGTGGCCTTACTGCTGCGGTGGAGAACGAATGCAGCCATCTCCCTAGGTTTGTTTTTCCCGCCACCATCTTCTAGTCTCCCCGAATCGCTCTGCTCTACAGATGATCTGCATTCTGTGCTACTCCTGAGAAGCGCGGCCCGTGTCCCTGCAGGCGGCAGCTTCTCTAACACTGCCCCACACGGCTGCAGCACTCGCTCTTTCCCTTTCATTGGATGTAACCCATCGCTCACCCACTAACAGGCAGCTGGGTTACTTGAAATTGGTACTCTTAGGAGGAAAGCTACCCTGAACATCTGCCTGTGTTTATGTGGATAGAATTCTCTTCTCTTGTGGATACTTAGGAAGACAAACACTTGGTTTAACACTGGTTGCAAGAAACTGCCAGGCTAGTTTGCAAAGTGACTACAAACCTGGCATTCTCACCAGCCACGCGCAAACGTTCCAGGGGATGAGCACGGCTCGCCCGGCCCCGCTCGTGTGGGCCAAGGAGCCCAGACCTGTGCCCATATTTTCATGTTTTCACCCTAGTGCATCTTGCTGGTGTTGTGTTTGTTCAAATCTCCTCCCTATTTTCTTGATGGGTTGTTTTATTAAGTTATAAGAATTCTTTACATATTTCAGATATAGATCCTTTGTTGAATGTCACAGGAGTATTTTTCCTTAATCCACAACTTGCCTTTTCATTTTTCTAAGTGTCTTTTTGATTGTTAAGAATTTTAAATAAATGATAAGGTAGTGCATTAACAAAAAATTAAATGATAAACTTTATCACAGTACCCTAACAAATGAGATAGAACATTAACATTTATCCAATCCAGAAAATTCAACTGTCCTTCCTTTCTTCTTGAATTAAAGCAACATTCAGATTAGCCTAGCACTGGAACGTAAACTAGCACACTGGCACATACAAATTCCACAGGGAAAATAAGTGCGTAAAAGATGCATAAACAACATGAGCCTACAGGGAATACCAACTAAAACCAAAATGGCATCTGTTAAAACCAAAATGGCATCTGTTATAACCCACTAATATGGCTAAAATCGAAACAAGTGGCTATTTTAAGCTCAGTTAATCTTACACTAGTCAGACAATCATCATCACAAATGCTTAAAACTTGCCAAAGACACATACTTTGCATCTGAAAGATACTAACTTTCCACACAATGCTCAGAATCACTCTCCAATAAAATACTAGGATCTCATCCGAGCAACATCATAATGAGTATAAAAACCCAAAGGTAAAGTTTTAGCTCTTAGAGGGTCTTATGTCACTGGCTAGTGAATGACTTTACAAAAACATTGAAATCCAACACTGTCTTGAAGACCTATAGATCTCACAACTGTTTTTCACACTTCAAGTTTAGTGACACACAAGTTACACGAAGGACCGTGGCTTGTCCTCACTGAGGGCTTCTGGTGTAGAACACAGTTAGGGAGGAAGGGAGCTGGCTGTTCCAAAATTACCAAGATCTGTTCCCGGGACCCTTGGTAGGACAGGCGGCAGTTCACATTCCAGTACGCACTGAGACTATCAAGCCGTATAAGCTGCAAAAGAGAAGAATGAACACACACGAATGATAAAGCAATACTCTGGAAAAAGGCTAATCTCACACTCACTACCCCAAGATTACTCAACTGCCACCCTGAGCTTTTAAAGAAAATTATGCAAAATTAAAGGAAAACACATTCCCAGACTCTATTACTAAGTTCAGTATTTGCTAAATTGTGTGTCTAGGAACTCGATTTCTAAGAGATTCATTCAACTTTCAAACTGACTGGGAATTCAGCATTTAACAGACACAGTAAAGGCTTTGCTGGGGACACGGAAGCGACCCCTCCGCAGACGCCAGCAGCTCTCTGACCAACAAGGTGAGGAACGCTAACACTAAAAAAACATTCCAGCGGGAACTTCGCTGCCTTTATCAGTATATTTAAAGTATCATGAAGCCCTGTGGCTTGCAATGAAATGAAACACACCTAGTTGATTAAAGAGAGCTTATTAGCAGCATCACTTAACCAAAGAATACTTTTCCTACAAAATCTAATAGTATTTCCACTACCAAATGCTGCATAAAAACCATTTAGAAAATATTTCATCCTGTTTCTTCACATGATAGGTGAAAAACCTAAACTTCCGAGGCACACGGTAGGAACAGAGCCAGTGCGAGACTCTGGACTGAACTCGCAGTCGGCACATGCCACTCCACCTTTCATCAAGAAAATACGGTGAGTGCTTGTCCTTAGGAAACACAAGATTTTACTCTAATAACAACAATACAATACCTTGTATATAATTTTTTCTGTTTCATTCAATATGCAAGGAGTCCAGTGCTCATTTGTAGTCTAAAAGAAACAGGAAAGTAACTGTAAATGCGATCTGTATATCATACAACAGCACTTGAGCATCTGCAAGCAGGAATAAAACAACACATGAAGGAAACTCATCTAGCTGCTGCTGGCTAACGTTACTTGATTCTTTATGTATTTCTATGGCAAAATCAAAGGTACAATGAAACAACATAACCGAGTTCATCCATTTAGGAAATCATGTGTGAATGGTAGAAAGAACTGGGTAGGAGCAGAAACACAGAACCTGCCTGTATTCTATCGAAAGTACATATACACTTCTAAAAAGTAGCAATAACATAAAAAAAATTTAAAAATAAAGTAGCAAGTAAACCAGAAGGGTATGGAAATGACAGGAGGGCCACGCTCCCCGAAGGACGGCAGCGCAAATGATGCTCAGCTGGAAACCCACGTAACAGGACAAGAGCGAAAGGGGTGGGGGCAAGTGGGAGCTGGGGACCCAGAGAGAGCAGAGGTGGGAGGCGCTGAAGTCTGGCTGGGAAAGAGAGAAAAGGCAGCAGCGTCAGAGCCTGAGAGCACTGGGGACACGAGGAGAGGCTTACTGAACTGTGTTGTAAGAGGAGGCATGAACATATTCGACTGCTGGGAGCAGGATTAGGAGAGAGACATTGGTGCAGAGAGCAAAGGAAGGGACGCCAGGGAGGGGAAAAGGAGTCTGGGGACAGAGAACCTGGTTAGAGGCAGGAGGAGGACTTTAAAGGTTAGACTGCAGCTGAAAAGGTGGAAGAGGAATGGGATGGACCCAACAGGCGAGAGGGCTGCTGCTGCCGCCGCACGGCCTCTGCGGCGGCGGCTGACACAGGAGATAATCAAGGCAGACAACGTGCCAGCACTTTACACCACCCGCCATGTAGCACTCACAGAAACCCTAGAAGGCAGCGGCCACCCTATCTGTGAGCAGCAGCAGGAGACCAACATGATAAGCAGTGTGCCGGAGGTCCAGGGGCACAAAGGAGAGAGCGGGACCCCGGCGCAGGCCGGCACACGCAGGCCAGGGTTCAACGCCCGGCACGGGGAGGAAACGAGAACGTGTAAGAGGGAAAGGGAATTCCACAAGGAGACTTGAAAGAAAAGAAAGCAAGGGAATGAAAAAGACAAGGTCATGTCTCGGGGAAGCACATTCAAACTTAAGCAGACACACCAGGCCAAACCAAAGAAGAGAGTAACACAGCTGAGGAAAGCGGCGGGTTCTAGAACACGCAGGCTCCGGCAGCAGCGCCCGCGAGGGAGGCTGCACACACGCAGGAGCTGCCTCGCCTCCTGCGGCCGCACAGCTGCAGACTCCTGTACCCTCTGTCATCAGGAGCTCCAAGTCGGCCCGTTTCCTGAAACAACTCTCTCTGCCCTTCAGAGCTGAGTCCGACCTCCCGCAGTGCGTGCGGCACGCTTCCCCAGATGGACTTCAAATACGTCCCGGACGCAGGTTCGCACAGGAGCCCTTGTCCGCACCCCAACTCCCGCCCCTGGTTCTCCAGCCCCTTCTAGGCTGCTGTGCTCTTCCAGCACATTTACGCAGCCAGCTCTACTTTTCTGTACGTGTCGTCAAGAGTTCTCTGTAACTGCGTCCTGCTTCTCCTCCAGGACCCGCCTCCCCTTTCTGCCGCTTCTTGCCGCGTCCCCGAGGCGGCCAAGCACACGGCAGAGTCCCGGGATGATCCCCTGCTCACGGCCCCTCACCCCGAATGGATATGCCACACCTTTCTCTACAAAAAGGCCTGACGGAGCTGTCTGTCTTCATTCCCACGCCCCCGCAAATGTTCCCCACCACCCAGGTGCCCTAAAATAGAAAACGAAGTCCAACCTACAAATACCCAAGTCTGAATTCTCTCGCAAAGAAACAAATTGGGGGCCTGCTGGTTAGCTCAGTTGTGTAAGCGCTTGCTTATGCAAACGCGCGGCCAGGCGCAGGGCACCGCCTACCGCCATCCGACCCCAGCGCCTCAGGCCTTACCAGAGCCGCCCTGAGGGCAACCTGAGCCCGCCCAAAGAAATCCTTCTCAAGAAACAAACTGACTTATGAACTAACCAATCACAATGAATCATTTCATATACCTCCCAAAGTAAGTTACATAGATACACACGTACAGACTATTTAGAAAATCCATTTACCTATATTAAGAAGGAACACTTTACATATATTTTTACCCAACTTTTCACGTATACGTAAGATAGTTTTTATTCCTGTTAGATTGCTTGATACTTAGATATGCAATTAAATTTTAAAATTTAGTATTTAAAATTAGATAAATTTTAAAACCGGTATTTAATCTACTTGTAAGACAAATGGAAATATGACAACATAATACCAGTATCACTAAAAATGTTGAATTTCTACAGAACTGGAGCAAGATACTATGTAAAAACTGTATGAGCTATCTGCAGTGAGAACGGACTGCGCGCAGCTCCGCTGAGGCGCTCACAGCTGCGCTCTGGAGGCCCCACCACCACCTAACTCAGGCAGCATTACCAGCAGGCTGAGCTCCCCCAGGGTGACGCCGACAGCGAGTGGCCGCTCGGGGTCCGTGACCTGCAGAAGAACAGAGACGTTAGAAAGTGCTGCGAGTGAGGGAGCCCAGCCCGGCCCTCGCGACAGGGACACAGGCACAGGGAAGTCACAGGAGGCGAGGATGTGGAGGAGAAGAGGCCGGGAGGTGCAGCGCGACCACGGTGTCCGCATACACTAAGGACAACACTGGACCTCGGGCGCTTTTTCCAGTTTAAGAAGACTCGGTAACTGGCTAGATAGGATCCTCTCAAGGGCTAAGAAGGGACAGTCTTTACAACGCTAGATAACACTGCCACTAAACCATTTTTATAACATTTAATATTTTCACACTTAGAAACACAAATTGTCTCTTTAGGCCTTTACAATTCTACAACGCTTTGTTTAAAAAAAAAAAAAAAAAAAAAAAAAAAAAAAAAAACTACATTTGTAACACTTAATTCCGTCTTTTCACCCAAAATGTTAAACTCCTGTTCTCTTTCTGAACTTCAACACCTAAGTTCCATTTACAGCGTTCAGACTAGCCCGCAGCACGCAGGCACGCAGGTGCGGCGTCAGCATCTGAGCCACCGTGGGGCAAGGCAAGTCCTCAAGGCTCACCCGGCTGGGCCTGGAGGCAGCTCAGCAGCGCAGTGCCCGCCTGGTAAGCTCCGGCCCCGAGTTCCACTCCCAAAAAACAAGAGAGACTTGGTCATCATAGAACAGAGGCAAAGCAGAAGGAAGCCGTGCAGCACTCCATAACCCAAGAAGGTCCAAGACCCCAGAGCTCTGCCACAGGACCCTCCCCAAGAGGAGAACACACGCCTGCTCTGGCTCAGCTGAAAAGCACTGTCGGCTTTATTTGTAATTAACACACATGATCATTTATAACCAAACACCTTCCTACTTCCCTACACTCATCTTTTCGTCCCTACAGACACCTCGCTCAACAACCAGCAGCCACTCCAGAAGGAACCGCAATGAAACATAGCCCCACCCCTACCACGGCCCCATCCCTGAACTACTGCCATTAGCAGTGAGCATTATATTCTGCCCTTATTTTTGGCTTCTTTATGTGACAAAGTCCTACTATGCAGCTCAGGGTGGCCTTAAACTCATCATGCAGCCCAGGCTGACCTCAAACTCGTGTCAAGCCATCTGCTTCAGTTGCCTAGTGCTGGTGTTACACACGCGCCACGTGCCAGGCCACTTTTCCCACTTTTTTTTCCCCCCAGAACCGGGGATTGAACTCTGGCCCTTGCACTTGCCAGGCAAGCGCTTACTCTACTGAGCCATCTCCCCAGCCCCTCCCATTTCTTACCTTCTGTATTTCTCACAGCTTTACAGCTACAATAACTGTGCTTTATAATGTTCTTCAGGTTTTTTAATATATTTTTGTTACTGATACCCATTTAAAGAGGACTGAAATTACTTATCCTAGTCCTGTGTTAAAAGGAGAAATCGTGGACCTTTCTAATCAGATGGCAGCAGTGAAAAGTTTAGTTTACATGCAAACTGAAGCTTTCATCCAATAATATGTCAGGGTTATTTTTTGCCACTTTTCAAACTGACTGCATATATATTTGTGAAAATGCAATGTGTGTGTTTTACAGAATGCACAAACACTGAGGAAGCACCAAATCAGGGCCCTAACAAACGTGCACTCTCACACGGTCACTGCCACTTTGTAATAATATTCAGAACCCACAATTCTCAAGCAGACACCACCAGTAACACACAGCCACTAGCCAGCGTCACCACGCTGTGCCAGGGTCACCAGAACGGTCTCCCCTCACTGACCGCCAGCCTGCAGCCGAGCCCTCCTCTTCCTGCCCCAACCGCTGCTAACCGTCTTACACTTCCCTCCTGCCCTGAGCTCAGCTCTCCCAACTTCACACGTAAGTGAGGTCAGGCAGCAGCTGTCTCCCAGGCCACGCTTATTTCACTTACATGACGGCATTTACTTTCACCTATCCTGCTGTCAATGACAATCACCCCCCACACACACAAGCTAACTGGTATTTCGCTGTGTGGACGGACCATGCTTCCTTTACCCATTCACTTTTCCACACCATGGCTAATGTGAATAGTGCTGAGATAACGCGAGTTGCAGGATCTCTTTAAGAAACGGGTTTCAATGTCTTGGATACAGATCAGAAGGGGGACTGCGGGTCAAACGCAATGCTGTTAGTGGTCTTTTGTTTACTTTTACAATCAGCATGCAACCTGAGGCACCTGTCTGAGCAGATTCTACTTTGGGTTAAGGTGCCCAACTGGGGGCAGGGGATTTAGCTCAGCCTCATAGCAGCTGCCTTGCAAGCATGGGGTCATGAGTTCAATTCCTGGTACAAAAGAATATACATACATCCAATTCCAAGCCCACATATTTGATTCCTTTAAAATGATGGAGCTTTCAAGAATCTTTCCTCTTAAGAGTCGATTCTTATCATCAGGGAGTTCTGTCTTCATTCGTACTTTTCCACCACATAACTTACTTTGGCACCATCAGTGTCTGACGGTTCCCAAGTCTTCACATAGTTTTAACAAAAAACTTTTACTCTCACTTATTGAGATTTTATTTTTCTTAGCTTGTTAGAAACATGAGCACTTAAATAATGAGTTCTATAAAACACTGGTAACAAAATTCACTTTAGTAACTCCATAGAGCCAGAATATAAAGCTACTATAAGATAGAGATCTTATAATAGCTACAAACATGCCTTACAAAGCATTATGCCCCAGAGAACTAATCAGGAAACGAAAATATATACATATGGTCAGTACTGTTTTAATTCAAACTTAAGGCAAATCCAGTACAGAAAATAATACAAATTCTTTTTTTTAATGTATTTAGTACACGGTCTCACTACACAGATCGGACTGATCGTGATCCTCCTGTTTTCTGCCTTCCAAGGGCTGGGATGGCAGGCGCACGCCACCATGCCCAGTCTCAATCACTGTCTCAGTGCGCCCTGGGCGCGGGGCCAGCACAGCACGTTGGGAATTGAACCCAGTCCCTGCATCTGCCTAAGCAGGCGCTATAACCCACTGAGCTATCTGGCCAGCCCTCAAATTCATTTTTAGAAAAGATGGATGAAATAAGATTTCAACTTCACTGGGTAAATAATAAAATTTAAGGTTTCTAATATAAGAGCACTCTACCACGGACCTATCACCCCCAGCCCTTTCTTAATCTTTATGGACACAGGATTTTGCTAAATTGCTCAGGCTGACCTCAAACCTAGAATCCCCCTGCTCTGTGTCCCAACAGGCTCGGATTACTGCAGTGGGCCCTTGCACCTGGCTTGTTTCAAGCTTTTGAACACAGGGAAGCTTACCACTCAAGATAGCTGTTACACTTTAACTAAATTGGCTGAATAGTTCTTAATTAACTCAGGCTAAGTTTTTGATCATAGAGGAAGCTTCTGCTAAGTACACTGTCCCACACTGTAAGTAGCCGTGGGTGACACAGTCCCTGGGTAGGAGGGAAAGAGAAGGGCATCACGCTCCAGGGAACGGCGCGAGCCCCTGTGGACTGGCGCTGCCACGGCTACTCCATCAACTCTGCGAGCTAACTGCTCTGTCAGTGTAACAAGAAAATTAGTTCTTTCAAGTTTCATTAGCCTTAGCACACCATCTATTGGTTTTATATCACATTTACATATGTGGATACTCAATGAAAGAAGCCTAACACAGAAAACAAGACATGGCCGTGTATGCGTAAAAACATCAATCTCAGATTTAAGGTAAGTACAGGAATCAGGCACAGAAAATGCCTACAATCCCTGCACTACAGGACGCCAAAGCGGGAGGATCATAGGTCCAAGTCCTGCTTGGGCTTAAAAGTCTCTCTCAAAAAAACCTTCAGAGGGCTAAGGATATATATAGTTCAGCAGTAGAGTGGGTTTGATCTGCAGTAATGCAAAAAATAAAAAATAAATCAAGTTGGATGTAGATGATCCATATATATTCAAACCACGAATATTACACAACATATATCAGATTACTAACATGAACAACAAAAAAAAATTACTTACATCATCTTCATATTTAATGTGAATGTCTGTGATTTTTACTTGTACATTTTTTATCACTTGGGTTGCCAATTTCTCCAGAAATGTATCCTTTTTGGCTTCTTTAGGCTTATCTATAAAAGACAGAAAACCAAGCTCACGATGCGCCGTTCTCACCGCAGGTCACAACGATGACGGGGCATGACTGGATGGAAGTTACACCTAGTCTAGGAACAGTACTCTTTAGCAGGTGTAGTTCAGGGTTTACTGGGAATTCCCAACTTGAAACTTTGATTTGAAATTAAATTACAATCTAACACTCATTTACCTTCCAGAATAGGAATCAAATGGCAATGTGCATAAACAACACGTGGCATAAAAACTACTTTTACCTACCTTTTGAGCGATCAAGACCTTTAAAACGTTTCTTAAAATGTTTTTTGTGCTTTTTACGCTTACGTCCTTCTCAGTGGAAGCATATTAGTGAGAAAAGGATAAAATTCAAGTTAGCAGACAAGAGGACAGAAAAGAAAATAAGAGAATTCTTGCTAAAAGCAAATTTTGGTACAGTTTGCCTTATCTTATTCTAAACTACCTAGCATTTTAATACAAACACAAATTCACAAATCTCCTTTAATCTACAATAACATTTTTTAAAAAGAACAGCTTTCCTTAATGTAGAAAGTCACTTGAAAGGTGCAGTTATACAAAAATGAGATGAAACAGCCACTTGCAACATCCTTTGCACACTATTCGTGACTTGATAAGGTTTCCCTTCGATTTCAATGCTCCCAAAATATTGGAAATGTAATGATGACAAAGCTTTCAGAAGAAGGTTTACGTAAGTGCGGGCAGGGACAAAGATGAGATGCAGGGGCAGGATGCCAGCCGGTGACGCTGTCCACGTGTGACACCTCACACAAAACGAATGAGACAAATACAGGATAAAACTCTCACACCTGCACCCCACCACCCGTTCACCCCCACCTCCAGTCCAGCCCGAGGCAGCCTCTGCAGGACTCCCTGCTTCCAGCCTCTGCCCCACCTGCTTGCCAAAGGGCCTTCTTTACTGGGGATTTCTTCTGAGATGCGCGTGTTCAAAATATTTTCAAGGCTCTCTGTAGCCTGCCAGATAAAACTGCTTTCATGACAAAAAAAAAAAAAAAAGTGCTCTTTTGTGGCCCAAGCCCTACTTCCCCATCTTTTTCAATCTCCTGCTGTTCATCTTTGCGCTGGAAATGACAGAAATAGTTTAAGTTCCAAAATCAGCTGTACTTTCCAAGGTCTAATGCCTATAACATCATCCCCTGAAGCTGGGCTGCCCTCCCAAAAACTCCCCACAGCAAACCTGCGGGGCAGGACACCTCCAGCCTACACTCGGCCCACATGCCCCAGCCCTGCTGTGCACGCACGTCTCCTGCCCTCAGAAGCACCAATGTGAGCATCGTAATTAAATACAGTCTACAGGACGCCGACTTGTGGGCTGGGCATGCTGCTACACATACACTGGCTGTACGTTGTACATTTGAGAGAACGTATTTGAAATTTAACTTGAAATTTTTACTTCTCTCTTCCTTGATATTTGCAAATTGTTATGCTACAAAGTTAAGAACCAAATTCTAAGACTAAAATTCCAAGTTTCAAGAATAAAATATTTACCAAAGTATGTAACAGAACCTGAACAGCACTAACAATGGCATTTCTAGCCACAGTGACATTTCTGACTACTTCATTCATAAGTTAAAAATACACATCGGGTGTGGCGGTACAGCCCTACTACCTCAGCACTTGCGAGGCTGAAGCAGGAGAGCCCTGAAGGCCGGAGGCCACCCTGGACTACACAGCGAGTTCAACGCCAGGGTGAGCGGCATTGGGACATTGTATCTCAGAAAACACAACCAACAAAAGAAATTTCAAAATAAAAAGACTGAGCTCCCAAATGTCATTTGAAAAAAAAACAAGTAAGAAAGGTGCACTAGCTCTGAGAGCCACTCTGCGTGGCTAGAACAGCTGTCAGAGGCAGCTACACGGGCTCTTCACACCTGACCCGCTTGCTCTCTGCGCAGTCTCAGCTTTGTTCCCGATCCTGGCTGGGGCTTGGAACCCAAGCACGTTACACCTCTCAGGCAGGTTCTATGTACTGCACAGCTCCTTGGAGAGAGTCCCTAGCTAATCCGATGAACAACAAATCCACTGTTCTCCATCATGCTCTAAGGAGTTCTCAAGCATTCTGGTCTTGGGATCCTCTGACACAATCAGAACATCAGGGTCTGAAAGAGCTTCTTATGCCTTGTAGGTTCTAACTATTGGTATTTATTATGCTAGAAATCCAAAGCAGAAGTTCTGAAATATTTTTATTAATTCACTAAAAAATAATAAACTACTACATATGTAATTACACACACAGCATATAGTTAAGAAAACTATTCCTACACAAAAAATCTGTAGTAGTGAAAAGAATCACATGGTTCCCAACCCTTTTAAATGGCTGGCTCAGGACAAAGCTGGATCCACATATCTGCCTCTCATTCAATCTGCTGATACGTTGTTCAGACCTAAGAATATGCCCAAAATATCATTTCACCACAGATACGCAACTGGAAAAAAACAGGAGAATCTCATGACCTTTCCAAGCAATTAAGGGTACTACATCTAATTCAAACGGCAGTTTCTTGAAGGTAGTCATCTCATGGAATCTAAAACATCATTAATGAATTTGCCACTAGAATTAAAATCGACTGGTTTGCCTTGCATTTAAATTAACCTTTTAAACATGTATGATGTTTTACTACTCCTTGGTAATACATGTGGAAAACTGCTTAACTGAATTGTGCAAAAATCAAAAGTCCCATCTGTTACCATAACTACCAGCCTCATCAGAAGCCCTTCAGGTACTGAGAGACTGTCGTGCTCAAGGCAGCAAGTGTAAGTGTCAGGAAAGACAAAAGCTCCAGATGCTCCAAGTCCAGGGCTGAGACAAAGCCAGCAGGAGAGCAGGGAGAGCTGCAGGCAAGCCACGTACAAGAGCTGCCAGGCAGAGAGGCGGAAACTGATGTCAGCTTCCTAAATGTGCACACGCACCAGTTTCCTTTCCTCCCATCAGGAGAGAGCAGGCTCCACCTGACCTCAGCTCTCCTCTCAATTCCCACCACTTCTCCCCCAGGAACCCCAAGAGCTGCACAGGACACAGCACATGGCACCGTGCACAGGGACAGATCCAGGGCAAGCACAGAGGTGAGGGGGCACTTCCCACGTGCGCAGTAAGGGGAGAAGCGCACTAGTGTACACCAGCCCACCTATGGGGTCCTGACTCCTGGGGACCCGTCAGCTGTTGGAAAAAGGCTTCCTTCCTGCTCACGGGCTTGATAAAAACGATCAGGAAAGGAAAAGGCCGCCTTCAGACACTCCTGAAAGGGCCACTTCACAGCAGCTACTCGTCCCCACTCAGCAGCAGCTTGCCGCAGCTCTGGTGGATAAAAGGATGACCATGAGGCACCTGGAGCACCCCAACTATAGGAAAAAAAGAAGCCTTTTATGTTTTCCACAAAGTGACTGATTTAAAAGACTGTTCTTTTACTATCCCTCTCAATCCTCAACATAAAAAACATTTTGCCCTTAGTTGAAAAATCCTATTTCCTAAGATTTACACTAATGGGGGTATTTAAAAGATTACTTGGACAACTATTTTTTTTTAAATGTAGAAAATTTTATTGGTATTTCTTACTAATCTCTATTACAAATGTCTTGAATTGGGGATTGGAAGGACAAAACCTCAAGTGGACTACTGAATATTTAAAACTCATCACACAAGTAGCCAATCTTCTCTCCAAGGCCAGGGCTGTAGACAGGGAAAGAGACTTACTTGGTCAAACATAAATTCTGTAAGCCCTGTTGCTGAGCTACAGCCGAGGCAAAGTTTATTCTGGCTCAGTTTATAGAGGTTTCGGTGCACAGCCTTCAAGGCCTAGGGAGGCACCGCACGAAGTGGAGACGAAGAAAGGAGGTAGAGAGCTACCCTTTCACACACCCCAGTGACCTCCCTCTGACCACAATGTCCCACCCAGCCATAAATGCATCGGAGGGCCAATCCACTTAGCACCCACAACCACCTGCCGAAGGCAACCTGTGAGCACGTGAGGTGTGGGGACCATCTGGTTACAGGCCACACTACCATTCTGCAACATGCTGAATGCTATAGAAGCTAAGTACATCTATGCAGCCTACTCTTATCCAAGCATTTAGACACAATGGTTGTCTACAGAGCCTTCACAGCCTACATAACCATTCACCCAGGGAATGCTACAGAAAGCTGGCCATGGGGCCTCTGGTTGGGAGCCCGCCAATGTGGAGAACTGTAGGGCATGTTTCCCTTGCCTCCTAGTCCGGTTCCTCCTGAACAACTAATTTGAAGACAATACTACGCAATACAGCAAATACTGTCGAATTCATTATTAGTGAAATTCCATATAATTTCTAATTTTTAATACTAGTTTGTATTCTCTTTAAAAAATAAAATATAGGGCCGGGGAGATGGTTCAGTGGAATAAGTGCTTCCCTGGCAAGCACAAGGGCCTGAGTTCAATCCCCGGTTCCGAAATAAATAAATAAATAAATAAAATATAAATAAATAGATTACTTAAAAGAACGTATTTTCAGTAAATGGAAACTTTGCACTTGTGTCAAGAAATGCCTATTTCAATGGTAACTTTGGTCTGTGGAGTTATAGTCAAAAATTTCATTTTTAGATTATACAGTAAAACTGTCTTGTTTTCATTACAGTTTTCTTCTTTACATCATGTACAGGATTTGCTACTGATTTAAGAAGTTTTTACAAGTCTTTGGTGGTCTCTCAATGCCTATAAAGGCTGATTCACCTGTTTCATTTCCTTCTTATAAGCAGATACAAAAATTTAAAATATGATCTGAGAACACTGAGGTTTAAACAGTTACTTAATTTTAGCATTCTATTTAAATACTGGCAGGCCTAGTGGTAGTCTCCAAAAAGGTACAATCTATGACAACTTTTTCATATTTGGGTCACCTTTCCAACAAAGAAATATCATGCCCCAAACTGTTTGGACCAGCCCTAACTGGTTTACAGGCTTTACGTGGTACTATTAATGGCTTCGTCTAG